ACAGGTAAGGCTGGTTATAAAGCAGGTGAGGTAAGTAAAGTAGTTCAAAGTCCATATACATCTGTACAGAAGGCAGAATTATATGCAATTCTCATGGTGCTTATGGATTTTACAGAACCTCTTAACATAGTTACTGATTCCCAATATGCAGAGAGAGTCGTCTTGCACATAGAGACTGCAGAATTCATCCCTGATAATACTGAACTAACTTCGTTGTCCTTAAAATTACAGGAAACAATCAGAAACAGAAGTAATCCTCTGTATATTACGCATATCAAATCCCATACGGGTCTGCCTGGCCCACTAGCACAAGACAATGACGAGATAGCAAAGATTTAAAGAAGGACTTCTCCATCACTTGGCAACAAGGCAAGGAGATAGTGAGGAACTGCCCTACTTGTTCCTTTTATAACCAAACTCCACTGCCAGCAGGCATTAATCCTAAAGGCATTCGGAGGAATGAGATCTGGCAAATGACATCTTGTACTTGACAGAATTTGGAAATTTGAAATATGTGCATCATACCATTAACATATTCTCAGGTTCCAATGGGCTATGGCTCTCAACTCTGAAAAAGCTGATTCCGTTATTACACACCTACTTGAGGTGATGGCAGTTATGGGCATACATGCACAGATAAAAAATGACAATGGTCCAGCATATGTCTCCACAAAAATGGAATAGTTCTTCAAAGATTATAACATAAATCATGTCACAGGTATACAACACAATCCTACAGGACAAGCAGTTGATGAGAAGTCTAATAGGACACTTACAGAGATGCTCCATAGGCCAGCTGGTAAGTCAAAACCCCCCAAACATAGGTTGCATAATGCTTTATTGACACTAACCTTTCTTAATGCCAATGACAAAGGACAAACAGCTGCGGAAAGACACCGGACTATGGAAAAAATTGCAGAACTGAATCAACCAGTGTACTTCACAGATGTACTGACATCGGTATGGAAACCTGGACATGTGTTACGTTGGGGTATGGGTTTTACATTTGTTTCCACGGGAGAAGAAAATCTTTGGATACCATCAAAATTGATCAAGATTCGAGTTGAAAAAGACAACCCACTCAACAAGGACGACTGACAGGTATTTACTGAGGTATATCTCATGAACTAAATGAAAGCCTCCCAAAGGAATGGGAAGTGCTTTGTTTTTATCTTCACAGGAAAACCCACCTCCAGAAGTCAAAGGACACTATTTGGGCAAATACTTAAAGGAAAGAAGGTAGGTAGCTATAACCATCAAACAAAAGGAACATGCCATACAGTACACTTTACAGCTGTCTCTCAAATAACTCTATTTCTCTTCATTTCCTAGTCCCTATTCAATTAAATCAACGCTGGATTTAGAGTTGGATTTGGCTTCCCCCCCTAAAATTCAAGCATGTTATTTAACTAAATTTTAAAGTTTTGTGTTATATCAAGAAGCCAATTGATGTAATACAGAATAAATGAAGAATTTGAGGACTATCTTTTGTCTTCTTGGCTCTTTCTTTCAAGGCCTATACCCTCTCATAATAGTTATTTTTCAGTGGTTGCCTTTCCCAGTATACATACCTGTGAAAGCAAACATTTCTCTGCTAACACTTATGTTTGAGTCCCATACAGCCAATGAAAACCCCCCTGACGACAATCCCTGCATGCTCCGGAAAACAATTGGGCCATACCTCTCCAACTGCACTGGATTCAACATACTCCGTTTCAACTCACACTCCAACCAGAGCCTTGAGTACTGACTTCAATCAAGTTGAGGATTTCAACCTAGATCTTCCGTCAAGCAAATCCCATTTAACATGGACTGGAGATAACCCAATAGAGACTTTCCCTGTGCTAACATTTTTTTCCCACAGGACCCCACGAGGCTACCATCGTCCCATTCAGCAGGAAGCAACTTAGAATATGCTATGTTCTCATGGGTAGAGTAAGCCTAGTTAGGAATAACTTTCTTATTGTTTAGAGTTGGGAATGGAAGGAGGTGTTCAAGTTAGACACCCTTTCCACATGACTTTAGGGCTTAGCTTGAATAGACATAGTTAAGATGTACAATAGCAGATTATTGTATCTTCTTGTATTTTACCTTTGTGATTGTTAATTCTGGATATTTTATACTATTAAGTTTTAGTCTTTTAGACTAAAAGGGGAATTGTAGGGAGACACCGTAGCCAAGCCTCCTAAAGGCCGGCTACAAGTGTGCTTGACCATGCCTGTCAGGGCATGGTCGAGGGGTACAGGATGACACGTGGGGAGTTCTTAAGGGAGCAGACACGTGGGAGCCCTCCCTTCTCTCTGGCCATGCTAGCTTGTGAGTTCTAGGCATGCTTTGGCTTATGCTTGGCTGGTGTTTATGTGAATAAAGAAACCTTAGCCTTACGAACTACAGATTGATCTCATCAAACCCGTAACTACCGATACATGTTTTTCTACAAGGTCTTATCTTACCAAGAACACCGAACACCTTTCTACCCTTCTCCTTGTCTCCTAATCTTACCGATCTTGCTTCCCTACTGGCCAACAGTGTTTATTTCTTCAAACAATAAGAGAAACATACATACAGAAGACTTCCCTCATCAAGAATATTATGCACCAAAGGGATCAGGCAGCAGAAAAGCTGGTCCAGGAAGGACATAAGAAAGAGAGCCCAGGCCTAGGCATCCACAAACCAAGCTTCTCCACAGAAAGTTATCCTGAAAGTTCAATGAAACCTGTGAGCCTTAGTCCACCGGGTTTGTACAAAAATTAGAATTACCAATCTGGTGACCATTGCAGGGAAGCTCAAGACTGTGAGGTTCCTGTGTTTTGCCTGAGAGCCACACAGAAGCCCCCTTGCCTGGTAATTAATACTGAAAATGATTTTAACTGTCAATGTGTGTACTGTTCCCATGTTAACATGGTTTCCTAGTCTCATGTATCCATGGAGACCCTCTCCAGGTATACAGCAACCACAGTAATATATTCAGGGCTGGCCCCCACAAGAGGGAGAAAATGTAGCCAGCCCCTAACTCAGAGCTAAATGTGGCTTCAGGGCTTTGATGTTCAAAGTGGGAAAGTGGCTCCTATTAATATAGGCTGGTGGACATCAGACACTCATCTATTAAAGACTCGGGAACAATATAAGCCAGAGAAAAGAAAAAAGTTCACATTGTCAGCTGACCTCCCTCCATACGTACAGCAGGAAGTCAGCAATTACTGAAATCAGGGTGAGTCCTTTCTGCTTTACCTCATTTTCTTTTCTGTATTTTAAAACTTGAATAAAATTTCTCCACATGTTTAGCAGAGTATGCATGTTTTCATTACTTGTGAATATCTCCTATGCATAGATTATGTTTTCAGAAAATCTGTACCAGCCCCTTCACCATTTCTTCTCCCTTTTCCTTTCTGACACTTTCTCCACCCACAACTGAGTGCATCCTCTGTAAATCCATGGAGTCCCCTCAGCATTATCAGCGTATGCATGTGAGTAAGGCACTCTGCTGCAGTATGTGAAGCCTCTCACTGATCACACTCTGAAGAAAAATGATTTTCCCATCCCTAGGGGCTCTCAACTGCCAATGGCCCATTTGTCAGGGGAGGTACTCATGATTCTCGATCCCACTAATGCAGGGAGTTTATTTGTCTTCATTTCCAGGAGGTCTTGTGCAGATAGATCATATATGCCATGGTTGTGCCTTTTAAAGAACAAACATTCTCACCTTAATCATGTTCTAACTGTGGCTCTTACACATATGTACCTACTGTTTGGAGCTGGTCTCTGAACTTTTGGGGGAAGTGTGTGTAATAACTACATCCCAAGTAGCACTGAGCACTCTGCTTCTATGTATAAATCACCATCTATTGAAAAAGAAGCTTCTCTGAAAAGGCATGAATGAAGGAAATATGCATAGAACTGCCCATATAAAGGAAAGTTATATAATGTATTTACCCATAATAATAACCATAGGATTTCATTTAGGATAAAGTAGCAGCTAGCCACAGATTCTTAGGTCAGTTTGTGGAGTAAGGCATGAGATCTGCATGGCAGAAATAGACTTAAATCTAATGAGAATGTTGTGGGTTACCCCAAATAATATTCATGCCACTCTAGAGATATGCCAGCAGTGTCATATCTTCCCTGGCAGTCAGAGTGTAGGCTCCAGGAATCACCAATGTGTTAAATTATGTATTATTTTATTAATGTGCATAAAACTGTTCATTCCTATGGATACTAGAGGGCATAAATAAAGATTCCATGTCAGGCCAAGCTTTCTTTCTCCATTTTCTATGACCCACCAATGTGATATTCTCATCAAACACGTCCCTACAGTCCAATACTGAAAGGTAAAAAGGACAGATATTGTAATGTTCGAGTATATGTGGATAGCATTTGCAAGCAGCTTAAACAGGTAACCCGTACAGAACACTGTGCTTCCTGCTTGATGTCCCATGGTATCTGGGAGTTGCACTATCGCCCAGCTATGAAATAACACCACTTAAATGATTTATAATTATATATATTTAGGAACTTTCTTTTGTAATCCATTACCATTAGGTTTTCTCCCAAGTCACAGAGTTAGGCATTTCCTTCTCATATTCCATCTTCTCTGCTCTCTCATCACTTACTACTCATGCATCATCAACAAAAATGAGTTTTTCTTCACAATAAAACCATACATGAAATGAAAGCAGGATGTATTCATGGAACATAACAAGGGCAGCATAGAAATTTGGATACATGTGGAAATATTGGTTACTTCACTAGTAAAGTTAAGAAATGTTGAAGAGGCAAAAATAATATGCAACTTGCTACTTTTCTGGTTAATACTAAAAAGAAATACAATTAATTTCATGGATATCAAGCTTCTAATATAGAGAGATATGTAAATCATATTTGGAAAATGAGAGCATACATATTGATTTCATCACTATATAAAACCCATAAAGAATCTGCAACTGAAACATTACATCTGATTGTTGGGGTGGAGCTAAACTGTCTTAAAGACATCTGTGTAATTAAGAAACACATGGATTAAGCTGTAGCTTGGAAATTTGTGCTTCTTTCTTGATGAAATGCAGGGAGTTCTTATCTGGTCTTAACAAAATAATGTAGCACTTGGGAGCAAAGATGCATCCCAGGAGGCCTGCACTAGATGCCAAGATAGAGGAGATTTCCATGGCTACCATGACCTTGCCCTTGGTGCTGTGGTAGACAGGAAGAAATGTGACCCACACACTGAAGAACATCAACATGCTAAATGCCAACAACTTTGCTTCATTGAATGTGTCAGGGAGGTTCATGGAGAGGTAGGCCATACTGTAGCTTCCAAGTGCCAAGAAGCAGAGGTATCCTAGGACACAGTAGAAGGCGACAGTTGAGCCCTTGTTGCACACAATGATGATGTGTCCATGTTCAGAGTGAGCATCTGGGTCAACAAAGGGAGGAGAGATGCTCAGCCAAACTCCACAGAGCCCAAGCTGAATGAGGGTGCAGATGGGAATGATGAAGTTAGGGGCCTTGATATCATTAGCCACCTCACCCTTCTCCCTGGAACAGTGACCTTGAAGGCCAGAACTACAGTAACTGTTTTCGCCAAGACTGTGGAGAGAGCCACTGTGAACAGAATTGCAAATGTGCTCTGCTGCAGGATACAGGTGACTTTGTTTTGTCGGCCAATGAAGAGCAAGGAACAGAGAAAACAGAAGGTCAGAGTAATGAGTAGAGTATAAGTGAGACCCCGATTGTTGGCCTTGACAATGGGAGTGTGGTGGTGCTTCACAAAGACACCAAGAACACAAACTGTGAATATAGAGCAGCCCAGGGCTATGCAGGAGAGCGCCATCCCCAAAGGGTCTTCATAGGACAGGAATGTCACATCTTTCTGGAGGCAGTGGTTCTGCTGTGTATTGGCATAGTGAGTTTCTGGACATTTCACACAATTATCCATATCTGGACAAGAATAATAGTTATCTTAACTCTGTGCACAGGATTCACTTTTATCCCAAGCCCCTTCCCAGCAGCAGCTGTCTGGCATATCACATACACCTCTTCCCTCTATTGCTTCAGACTCAAGTGAATTAGTTCTCAATAGTGAAAATTCACAAATGATCTCAAATCAATAATCCCAAATTGATACTGATCATTGTCTATATTGGGACATAATGTGAAAATTTCTATCCTCTTCATCATTGTAATTAAATGTGTTTGTACATAAGTGGCAATCTCCATTTTCTTATCCAGCCATAAATTATAAACCTATATTGCATAAACCTAACTTATTTATAAGATTTT